ACATCTCTGGCTGAGCAGCACCACGCAGGCACTGCTATCTTTGGTGGGTGCTGGCAAATCTGCACATCTTAACATAGTTCACAGAAGCAGACACTGTGCTAATTTCAGTCACTTTAAATAAGGCAATGGCTTGGAAGAGGACAAGATGTCATGCCAGAAAGGACAGGATAATATGTTACTGCCAGGCATCTAAAAAACCATTCATCAGGTAAAGACAAGACTAATGTAATCACTGATTTCTCATTTTTCTGTTCTCGTAGAGTAGCTGGAGAGGCGGAAACAGAAACCTCTCTTTAAGAAAAGATTAAAATGGCTACAAAGCACTGAAAGGAAAACAAAAATTATTAAAAATATCGCTAATAAATTCCAATTACTTTCACATATTCCAATTCTCAAGGGAAAAAAAAATCTAATTCTGCTGAGTTCACAAGAAAATTCAACTACGTGATGTTTTAGTATAAAGGCATGGAAAGACTACTTGAACTCTAGGCAAACCATATATAGGGTTTTTTCATTTTTAATTCTAACTTTTGTTCTTCTATTCACTCTGGGCAGAATCAATCCCAGGTTTTCATTCCTGGGACACAACACATCAAGCTCAGTGTCTTTCTAGCTCTAAGGCAACTTCCACAGACTGTAATTAATTATAAAAGGACCAGATGAGAACTAACATTCTCACTCTACTAGCTCATTTATTCACCAAGTGTAGGTAATATATTAGTTAAGGTTTGAGTTTATTCATCATGAAAATCATTATGCTTTGAACTTACATAATATGTTCAAGCCCTTCTGCATCTGAAACATATTTGGTTAATACAGTTAACAACTCAGGGCAGGGGGAGAAGCAGGGTGAGAGACTTCTTGCCAGGAGAATGTGATTCAGATCTCTGAAAGGCCACTCAAGAATGCCAGCTGGAAATCTTTGGAAGGTAAAATAGCACTGAGTGTTTTCCTTAAGCTTAGATGTCTTTGTTATTTTATGATCCTCATTTGAGCAAAAATGAGGTTCTTTACAGTTCAGGTATTTCTTCAAATCCCTTCATTCACTCATATAATCATTTTTCTCACTATCAAGAGGTTATTCTTGGTCACTGAGCACATTAACAGATTTTATCTGCACCTTCTTCCTTCCCTAAGCATTTATTTAGATGCATTTTCAGGCACATACCTACACTGACTTCTACGGCAGCACAGACAATACAGCTGTAAACTTCAGGGAACGAGACAGCCATGTAAGCTGCTGGAAACACCCTTACTTCAAAACCTTCCAGCAAGAGGTTGCAGATACAGTTTCACACTTCATTTCTTTTGACATGTCCCCAGAAACACCGCTGTGCGTATCCAGTGACAGTATTTGAAACCACACACCCCAGCCACCTCCGAGGCTTTATTACACTAGCTACTGTTTCCATGAAAAAGAAACAGGTTTTTTGTTTTTTGTTTTTTTTTTTCCCCTGGAAACAAGTACTCAGTATTTGTTTGAACAGAGCTCTTTTGCTCAAAAGAGTGGAATGAATGATCAGCAAAATGTGCTTTAACACCGGAAAAAGAGAGAGCTGGAAGTTAGGCTCTTGAGATTTAGAAGGTCACTGATTACACTCTTTATACATCAGGATCTTTTTTTTCCCCCTCCTTTCTCATTTTTTATGTAGAAAGAGTCTAATACTAAAAATATAATCTTCTGGTTGTATTATAATAGTATCCTGATTAATGCTTTCTTTCACCCCCTATGACCAAGTCTTACAGGTTAAAAAAAAAAAAAAAAAA